CGGGGAGAAGCAGGGGGTAGTCGGGGGAGAAGCGGGGAGGTAGTCGGGGGAGTAGTGGGAGGAAGTCGGGGAAGAAGTGGGGAGAAGTCGGGATGGAGGTGGTGGGGGGAAGGGATCACGATTAAGCACGATCCAGGCGGAGTCGGGGTCTGCGTGAGGCGGGAAAGTGTCGGGGTTGGGGGGAGGCGACGATGGTGCGGCTGGCTGGCGGAGGCGACGACACGGGGCTGCAGCGAGCGGACGGCTGGACCGAGCGTAGGTGAGTGGGGTTGAATGCGCGATGCGTTTTCCCCCACTGCGCGATTCGCTTTCCCGCTTCTCCGTCCCACAACGGTTTCAAACAGCAGTCGATCTTAGCCGCTGATCTGCGACGATCGGTGCCCAAGATTGGACAGTATTTCAAATGAAAAAAAACGGGTCTACGGCCTCAATCGCACAACTGCGTCGCGAAAACAAAATTTTGGGTCGCTGGTTCGGCCCCCAGCGAAAATGCGCTGGGGGCGACCGGGAGTGAACCGGCTTGGTCCACCTGCCGGTCCATCCGGGAGGACCCCGGTTGGGGGAGGGGTCCCCGGTCCATCCGGGGACCAGCCCTGGTTGAAACTGAATGCAGTTATACCCTAAAACACATAAATATCAGACAAAAAACAAACAAACACAAGAAAATAGCAAAAATTCAAAGAAATATGACAGTTTCGGTGAAAAATTCGCCGAAAATGACACCACCTATTAACCACGAGTGTTGCACATGTACACACGTTCGCAAAGATCACGTCCAGAAATGATAGAAAGCATGCATTGAGGTAAGTAAATCCAAGAGGCCGCGACAAATTCAGTCGAAGGACTTGACACAGTGATGAGTAGGCTCCCGGTTATGGTGTACTGACTGACTTTGCTGGCATCGCTCGTCTACTAGATGCCAGCCAAGTCAGACAGCCAAGATCCCAACAGTTGAAGAAAAAGGGAGGTAAATGCATGAGCCTCGAGGGCGTACTCACACTACCATCTTCCCCCAACATCGCTGTCTCTAGAGTCTAAAAAACTGAAGTTGACCCAAATACAGCTAAAGTGACGTGCTTTCTATTCAGAGGAAGACTGCAGGGTTTTACTGGATGTATTTGACTTCAATTGAATTGGGGTAATATGGGGCCCAATTGAGTGGATAAAGTTATAGCATGAGTATGCCCTAGTGGTCAGTTGTTTAACTGTGAGCTTGGGTCCCAAATTTGGGTCCTTGGGACCCAAATTTGGGACCCATTTTGGGACTCAAGCTGCGCAATGGAGTAGAAGTTGTAGTACAGAGAGAAAGATACTGCCAATTGGCACCATTACTAGTCTACAAGGAAAAGACGAGAACTAAGATAAAAGCACAAATGTTTTACATTTGCTCTGCTATTGTTATGAAATTATGAACGCATACGTTTTTACAAAGTAAGCTTAAGTAACACGTTCATGCCATTTCAAAATTGAAATACTTTTATACTCTTTTATTTATTTATTTTAGATTTAGTATTATGTTAAGTTTTAACACATCACATCACTTGTTATCTAGATCAGAGTAGATGCAGTAGGGAGATTCTCATTTCTCATTTGGCCGCTGATGTGTCATGTGTGCCCGTGGTGTGGTGATTCTGTTGTAGAGAGCAGTGCGGCAGAGAATAGCCATCAACGACTGCTCCAGGCCAACAAGTTCTATGGAACCGGAGTGGGCAAAGAATGTGCGGTCTGGATTGGCTGAGATCTTGAACAGTCGTGTGGGTGAGTCACATTCTTATGATTTGATTCAATACCGGCTGGGTTTCCTATCCACTACTCGTGCCCCTCGCGTTTGTATCCACCTGATAGCATCGGGATTTGATCTCATGATGGGTTTATGAACAGTTGTCTTGTTCGCTATACATAACTCCACCAAAAAAACGCATGACTGTGCCAGACTGTTTCGTTGGACTTTCACCGCCTCATCAGGAGGTTGAACCTGGACAGACAGTCTGCCCAGGATGCATTTGACTGATGGATAAGAGCAAATGTACTAAATGAACAATTACTGAAAGTTGAAACCACCATCCATTTGCTATTATTGGAGTGGTGACTACTGGCCCTCCAGTTTTTTACAGTTGCTCTGTCAGAATGACAGTCTGTTGGCAATCAGCACTTTAATGCCCTAAAGTTGTAAAAATTGTGGATTGGTGGTGCACAGCTATTTCTCACAGGCGGCTAGCGATTCAAGTTGTGCGAGGGATGGTAGAGCTCATGGGTGAAGAATGGATGCTCGGATTGGTCGAGAGTATGAACTCTGACGATCGATCTCCTCCTGGCGAACGGTACGTGTACGGTTTTAGGTCCTAAGATTCCCTTTTTTTTTTTTTTTTTTTTTTTATAAATTTGGACCATTTCTCAATTCATGTGTGTCATCTTTGTGCATGGGCCATGCTAATCTTCCTCCTTTGTATCGTTCCAATTTTAATGGATGTCCCGAAGGACTTTTTCCTTTCTCTTTTGTAAAACAGTAAAAAAAAAATACCTTTTTTTTTTTTTTTTGGTAAGTGGTCCTAACTTCTCCTAGGGTCCGGAACTTCTCAAGTTCTGACCTATATATTTTTTAAATCGGGAAAAAAGTGCACCAGTTCAGTGAGTGAATCATCAATTCAATCAAACTGATATTCTATCTGTCTTATGGTTGTTATCGTGTCACCATAAGGTAGTTGATCTGTGAAGAGAATGCTTGCCACAGAAATTTATTTTAAATTATTTACCTTTCACGTTGTTCCTCGCTTAGCAGCATCTCTGAGGTTCTACTAATGGTGGTTTAGAGGTGGTGTCATACGCTATAAATGAGTCTATATGTGCTTGCCGTACGGAAGTTTTTGTCGCCATCAGGGGCGCTGAGATGCTGGTACTCTTTTTTTTTTTCATTTTGTTACGATCCTGGTCATTTCCAAAGTGCAAATTCACTAGGAAAGACAAACGGCACACAATTGCGAAATAAATCAAAGCACTTGCAAAGAGATAGAGACCAAAGAGGAAGGAAGAAGAAGATAAAAGAAGAAGAAGAAGAAGAAGAAGAAGAAGAAGAAGAAGAAGAAGAAGAAGATGCACACCAGCAAGACCAATGACAAATCCCCCTTTTCTTCCACTCTCCTCCTCCTCCTCCTCCTCGTTGTCTCCACCAATCTTATTCTCTTCCCAAATAATAATAATAACAACGAGTGGTCGAACCAGAATCACTATCCGAAGTTCCCTCTTACCGCCAGCACAACAATAGGTCCACCATAGCCATGGCTTCCCCCTTCATCTTCCTCTATGGTTGCTGCTCTTCAGGCCGCCATGCCTGACTCTGCCTCGAATCTTCATTGGTGTGGCACTACCCCCACTGGGGCCTTCCAGATGCAGCACCTAACAAGCTGATGAAGATGGTGTCCACCATAGCCAGGTACGTACCTCAGCACTCTCCTCCTTCGCCCCCTTCCTCCTCCTCCTCCTCAAGCTGGGCTGCTCGCCATAGCCAGGCAGAGCGCCCAGCTGCCCTTCTTCCTCCCAGGCAGCGCTCTGAGACACAGCGCCCGCTCAAGCAGCATGACGCCCAACCTTGCATACCGCAAATGCGGAGGAGCTACTCGCTCCTCCTGGAGATATAGCGGCCTACTTGCCTCTTGGGGCCGCGCGGCCTCCGAGCAACCAGTACCTCCTCCCTCTCGGAGGGAAACATCATTGCAGGCTCTGATATCGTTGGTACAGGCCAGAGACTCGGGCTACTTGGACTGGTACCCACCTACCTCTTAACCTACCGCTACGGCCTCTAAAAATGCCAACTTTTTGTCTTCTTCTGCTCGGCCTTCTGTTCCAGACACATCTACCACTACTTGAGTGGTACTGGCCTACCTGATACTTGAGTGTTTTTCTCCAGCTGCCCTAAGTGTCGTGGCCTAAGCCCCGTGTTTTTCCTGCTGCAACCCTCAAAGTCACGGCCACAGGTAAGTACCGGCCCAGCAGGCCTCACCACACACAATGCCCTGTCGGGCCACACACCCACTCAGGCAGACCTGCACTCAGACAGGCACATGGACAGCAAGCACACACACACGCACAGACTTAGAAAGATCAGCAGAATGCGGGGATCTCAGCAAGGCATACATTCCAGCGGCAAAACCCAGAAATCAGCAGTGTCCTTAGTCTGTGTTTTGGCGGGTCATTACAATTTTCGTTTCATAAATTGGAGCATTTCTTGATTTATGCATGCCATCCTTCGTGCCATCGTGGATACGTGCTTTTCATGCTCATCATCGATCCGTGCTTTTCGTGCCATCGTGGATGCGTGCTTATCATGCTCATTGGCGATCCGTGCTTTTCATGCTCATCATTGATCCGTGCTTTTCGTGCTCATCGTTGATACGTGCTTTTCATGCTCATCATTGATCYGTGYTTTTCGTGCTCATCGTTGATACGTGCTTTTCGTACTCATCATCGATCCGTGCTTTTCATGCTCGGTGATCGCCGTGGATGCGTGCTCATTGTGAATCCATCCACCGGTGATCACCGTGGATGCGTGATTTTCATGCTCGGTGCTCATCGTGAATCCATCCGGACGTGCTTATCATTGATCCGTGATTTTCATGCTCATCCAGACGTGGTACCGTGGACGCGTGCTCACCGTGGATGCATGCTCATCGTGAATCCATCCAGACGTGCTTTTGGTGCTCATCATCGGCCTCCCTTCTTCCTCCCTTTCTTCTTCCTTCCTCCCTCCGTCGCCTTTGCGCTCCTTCCTCTGGTGGCGTTACCTTCCTCGGCCCTCTGTCCTCCCTCCTTTCGTGCTACCTTATCTGGGAATGATGTAGAGAGTGCATTCCGTTTTTCTTAGCTTTCTCAATTTGCGTTAAGGCTTAGCGCCACATTTTGAGAGAGAGAGAGAGAGAGAGAGAGAGAGAGAGAGAGAGAGAGAGAGAGAGAGAGAGAGAGAGAGAGAGAGAGAGAGAGAG